CATTATGCTCAGTCTTCTGACCACTTGCATCATCTACTTGACTTCTGTGATGTCAAGATGAACCATGCATTTTATTCATGTGCCTCATCTCCATGATAGATCTGAAAATCAAAGCCAGCGGGAAGTCAGAAGTGTTATGCTACTTTAAAATGCAAGTCTCTCCAAGTTCCATAGGAAAAATTAAGAACATAACCTTTAACAGAGACATCAAATTATCCTGCAGGTTTAAAAGGTTTATTGAGTTCATAAGATCAGCCACCCGCACCCTCTTTTAGGAGTTTGTCTGAGCAGTGTCTGAGTAATGTTCACATTTTCCAGTGACTCACTGATTTAATGATGAGTCAGAATAGAAATAGACCGTGGGCCAACCAAGATCATGGTGTAAATAGTTTTGATGGGATGATAATGTTTTGACAAAAGCTTTGTGAGTGCAGGTTATTCTTCACATCTCCAGTTCTTTGGTCACCCATAAGCCATTGAAAAGATGTTGACCCTTCCCCTGCAACCCACAGCTTCTGATTTATATCTTGGTTCCCCAAGGTACCAGCATGATAAGAACAAATCTGCCCAAGTCTGGCTGCAAAAGACTAACAAAATATCTGAATATATTTTATTAAATGCACAGAGAGTTCAAAGGGCAGCACTGAACATGTGCAAACCAGCCACTTGCTTTTGTAAACATGGAAACTAGTACCAGAACGTGACCACATGTTAAACTCCAAAGACTGTGCTTCTGTACAGAATGGGCCACACAAGCACTTTAAACAGTGACGCTGACATGATTCAACGTATTTCCAAACTGGGACAAAAAGATTCCCCTCCCTCCCCCACAACTTCAAGAATTCCTTCAAGCAGTTGTATTAACATAAGAAAAGAAAACTGTGCAAAATGCTCCTGCTGCCAAAAGTATACAGTTTTTGAAGGAAGAAAATTCATTTGAAAAGTAACACTTACTTCCTTTTAGATGATTCAAAGTTCTTTCTCCTACCCCTGAAGAAAGCATTTTGCTGTAAATATTGATGAAAACTGGGGCTTAAATGTGGCTCTCCCTAAAATAGAGTGAGGGCTTTTTGCACAGCACTTCAGCCAATCGTGGGTTAACTTGCCTATGAGGGGGTGCAGTGCCGGCCATCGGTGTGGTCCAAGGCCTTGGAGCATGCAAAAGTTTCTTCTCAGCTGAAGGCCATGTAAGCCACTCGGCAACACCAAATGCAGAGCCCTGCGCCCCAGAGGGAGCAGAACGTTTGAAGTCAGTGCATGGCTATGAAAGTCGGACACTAGGGAGGGAGACGCCCCACGACTCCTGTCATGAGTTTGGGCCTACAACTCATTTCATGTCAGTGAATGATTGTGAAAGTAACCCCAGGATGCCTGTCATAAGTCAAGGCTTTCCAGATTGCAATGTAAGCAGTGTCAGACCATGACTCTGAAAATCAACCCGTGATGGCCACTCACAGGTCAGTGTTCTGGAGCAAGATAAATTTTCCAAGTGAATGGCTATGAAATTTGGAAGGTTTGGCAGGGCATGCCCCTGACAACCAGTCACAAGTCAGCTCCGGGCTACAAAATTCACAGGTGGAGAAGGGCACGTGGCCCCCATCCTCCATCAGGGCCTCCAAGTGTGTGAAACGTCATATTGACCGACAGTTATAAAAATGACCCACAGCATCCACTCTTGGGTCTGGGACACAGAATAGTGGGATTTTCCAAGTCAAAGCAGGGCTACAAAAGTTGCACCATTTGGTGGGGTCACCTCAAGGCACCCATCATATGCCAGAGCCTCTGAACATGAGAAGTTATACAGCATCAGTTAAGGGCTGTAGCAATTGACCACCTCGAGTCTGGGCCGACGCTGTGGTGCCCCCAGGGTTAAGTAAGCCAGAGTGGACTCTCATGTCATCCCGAGCAATATCATTTTTAAAATAATGCATTAAATACAATCTTTAGTTCCTTAAATCTATGAAAAATTATTATCTTAAGCATGGCTTTGCTCACTAAAAATATACATTGTCATATACGTACGTCTATCCAGGGCTCTTTTTTTTTTTTTTTTTTTTGCTGTAGTTTGAGTTAATCTCTTAGAACATTTTCCATGTCAGAATGCATAACAATTACATTCCAGTGTGATAAAATAGATAATTCATAATGGATTTTATTACAACGTACCCTAATATTGATGTCAAAAGACAGAGGCTTTGAAGGACTGCACTTGTAAAGTGCAGTATTCTTTGTTAGTGTTAGAACTGGCAATGCTCTTTATCTTGGAGAATTATCTTTGATTAATCCTTTTCCAAATATGAATGTCATCAGAACTGCTCATTGCTTTTAAGAAGGTTCAGCTGAAAGCCATCACCCAGGAAAAGCAGTCATGGACAGGGACAGAGGCTGTGCAGGCTGGCCCTGACACAGGGGTGACCTACTTGGCCCCATGTTCTCACAGTGCCCACTAGAAGGCGCCCTGTGCTCAGCCTCCTTTGCATGCCCTTTTAACTCTCTGGGAGGGGCCATTCCTCACACTTGCATTAGGAATAAACTGGTAGGCCCCATTCAATTTGTCATGGCGCCATTTTGCCAGGCTAGCAGCTTATCTTGGAGATCTAGCAAGGGTTTCAGGATTGGTGCATACGTGGCTTGCTGCAGTTGTGTTTCTGCCTCCTCTGCCCCACTGGCTCCAATTACCCATGTGCCACAAAGACTTATCTATGTTGCAATGCATTGCATCTCAGTGACAGATGTGAGCAGTGTGAGAGTGGTATTCGATATCTTGATGGGCACTTAAAACAATATCCCTTCATAATATGAATCAACACAGTAAATTAATAAACAATAACTATAAACAAACATGCAAATGAACCCAGCACAAGGCAACTTCTGATGACATTACAGTGACATCGAATATTCTTCACTAGCTGAATTTTAATAGTCTCTGTGAAGAAAAGTTTGTTCTAGTCTTTTAATTTCTGCTTTTTGTCTTCTTCTTTTTCCTCCTCTTCTCCTCCTCCTATGCGTCTGCCTTCTTTTCTTCCTCCTGCTTCTTTGCCATTACCTTCACCAACTGACTTCCACCTTCCTTTGGCCTTCCCTTCCCATGCTGTGTCCCTTTATGGACTCCCCTGCATTCTGTCCTGCCTGGCAGAAGTTGGAACTACCCAGCATTTTGAACCACCCAGACAAGTCATATGCATGCACATTCCTGAAGACTCGCAACATGTAAGGAAAAAAGAAGGAGCAATCTGAAATCTGGTCAACTGTGTCTATGCTGTGGTGTGCAAAACTGATGTTTTGGTGCTATTGAACACCAACATTTGTTTATCAATTGGGATGGTAAATGTTTGGATTTGCATCTCCACTCAAATGTGTCTCTCTCATATTCTCACAGTAATACCAAGAAGATGCTTCCAAGAAAAGATGAAAATAGCTCCATGTAAATAGAGGACAAAGAATACCTGGAAGTAAACATTGAAACTTTAGGATCAATCAGAATTAAGCAGAGGTCTCTGACTGGGCAAGCAGCAAAGAACAAATTGTTCCTGAAGTGATGACTGAGGAAATAGGGCCAGCCTATCATTAGGCAGCACGAGGTGTCTGCCTCAAGCATCATAACCTGGAGGGGAGGGAGCAGTGGTGGAGAACAGAGCTGTGTGCACCCCATGTATTTGCTCCCTAACTAGTCTGCCGGCTTCGGGTGTGATGGACGGGGATGTCCTAAGGACTGTGGTGGCAGTGCAGTCCAGCTGCCAGTACAGGCAGTCAAATGTGAGGGGAACCTTCTCCTGTCCTTTGCCTCAGCCAGCAAAATGTCTTGAGCAACAAAGGCCCTAACAAGAAAGGACCTATTTTTCTTTGTAAACCCTGAAATTGAATTGGAGTGGTGCAGTTTGATATAAGTTGAGAATATATGCAATTCACATTTTTATTCACAGGTAAATAACAGGCCCTAATAACAGGTTGCATAAGAAGGGTTTGTAATTTTTTTTTTGCCTAAATTAAAGGCTCTTGCTATGATGCAGAAGGATCAGCATCACCATTACATGCAGAGATGGTGCTTTTATGTTGTATGTACAGATGTGTCTTTGTGCATGCATCCATATACCATATATCCAAATTTCAGATATCAAATTTAGACCCCGGGACTTTTCTCCCAAATGGATAGATGCTCAGTCTAGCCAGCTGTTCCTGAACTTGTGAAAACCTTTACGGCCCTAAGTTCTTCCATCACTTTTCCGGCATTTTGCTCTGTGACCTGCCCATGCTGCACACCTGATGTAGCTTCCTATGACAGGTGAAGAGCACTCATATGCAACCCAGCACAGCTGAACCTGCTGCCAACTACACATCTAACATCTGAATTCGATAACCAGAGGATGGAGAAAGGATATATCCGGAATTATTTGAACTGTGTTGCTTGTAGCAACCAGGGAAATGGGGGAGGAGATGAGGTTAGGGCAAACCAAAAAGACAAGATGGATTTTTCATTGCATTCAGTGAGCCTCATGATTAACAGCCAAACCAGCCTCATAAAACCAAAATACCCATTCTCTTTCTCTTATTACCACAATTCATTACAGTCCATCATTCCTTGTAAAATAAACCCCCGATCTATCATTTCCACTGTTTTGCAGCATCAGCTCCTGATAACCATATTATCATTCACAAACCCATTGAAATAATGAATTAAATCCAACTGCTTTCAGTTGGATTCTGCTTTCAATAGCTACATGCTATTGATTTATGTGTGCCATCTTTCATTTTAATTTTCTTGTTCAGAATTCACTCCTTCCACACAACTGTCTGCCATTTCCAACCACAGCTGCATATTGATTTCTAAATTGCTACCTTATTATGCCTTTTCCTTAAATTTCTCAACATGGTCTCATGCATCTGTTGACCAACTCTAAATCCGATTCCAGATGCTTGCTGTATTGAAAAGTAATCTAGCCATCTGGCCACATGTTGAATTGCCTGCTGCCCAGCAACTCATAAATATTCTCCAGTTTGACTTATGACATGGCAACGTCTCTGGGCAAATTCAGCTGGATTGATTCTTCACCTGCTGTGTATTTTGCTGCTGGTCCATTGGTATCCATAGTGAAAAGCTTGCAGGTCTTTGCATTCTCATGAATTGGTGTGGACTTCTTGGAGGAGACTGGAGAGCTGGTTGGGCTTAACTGCACAGCGGTGGTGTCTTGCACTGTATGCTCACTGGTTTCAATTTCAAAGGCCGTGTTCCCAGGTTTGATGAGGCCAATATTGGCCCCTGGTTTGGATTTTCTGGTACCATGAGCAGGTGGCCTTCGGCTGCAGATGCAACATGCCCCAAAGAAAGTGAATGCCACGACCAGAAGGATGGGCCCAATGACAATAGGAGGGTTGTTGACAGGTAGGAATGTCCCAAAAGCAAATGCTCCCACCAGGGTGATGTTAATACCTGCTAGCATGATGCACAGACCACAGGCGCAACACAGAGCTGGGGAAGGCAGCCCCTGTGGCCTGGTCTTCTTCTTGCTTGGCTTCTGGGACAGTGAAGTGCTGCTTTTTTCGATGAACATGTTGACGTGTGTCTCAAAAGTGACCCTGGACGTTAATGTACATGGTGCCCACAAGATGATTTCTGTTCCAATGTTCTGTAAAACAAGAAAGGTGAGAAAGACATGTAAGTAAACACATTAATTCATTCAGAGATTCAACCAGCTGGGCTATTTACAAAGCTCCAAGGTGAAGAAACACATTTGTTCAGCTGCACACATTGCCATTTGTATCAGCGCTGGCTCCAGGAAGTGGCAAGGCTGAGCATATGCCAGGGCCCCAGGACCAGCTGAGGAACCCCCACTGTTTCCACTATTGCAGGATGTCCAAGAACATCAGGTGCAGCCAAACATGTCCCACCAATTCAGGGTCACAGAGACTGCCCTAGTCCTCAACGCCCCAAACCTTGAAGCCAGCAATGAACCAGTTCCAGTCTCCTTAGGAAGAGCAGGCATGGTTCAGAGAGTCTTCATCTTGTTACTCATCACCAGCAACACACATTTTCTTTCCACCCGAAAGTTAGAGCAGTTCTATACCCAAGAGCCCGACTTGGCATTTGAAAGATAAGGGAGGCAACCTTGAAGATGCATGCTTTTTGAAAGACTCAGAGAGCTATAATACAATATAATGAAGACTGTGTATCCTGCCTACTCATTTTTCCTGATTTATCAGGCCATTGACCTGATTCACATGTAACTTAATTATGATTCAGACTTCACAACATAAATACAACCCATAAGTTCTCTTCTTTGGTTGTTTGTAGTTATCAATCCATAATTAAACCAAAGTGCAGGGTTCACATGTAACAACAGCCCATGATTCAAGAATCCTCTAGGTTATCATGTGCAAACCAGGCCAATGGCTATTTAAACAAATGAAAGAGAAGCTTCAAAGGCAGTGGCAGGTAGGAAAATCATGAGTAAAACTGTATTGAAGTGCAAGGGAACATGAAGTTATAATTCAAATCAGAGTAGAACACCCGCATTTTTTTTCATTTGCGGGATGCATTCCGCCATGAGTAATGTTGGATGCCATAAGCTGGCAATGGACAGAAGCAGAGCTAAAAGTGGATGGATCGCCCCTTTCCTTTCCCTGCCACCATCTTTTGTCTTGCTTTCCCACAGGAAAGGGACAGATTGCTCTTGCTGAAGGTTTGAACAGAGAAGCATTCAGAGAGTTTTTGAAGGCTAAAGGCCATGTAAAAATAAGCTCAGTGCTGCAGGCTGCACACCCCTTGTTTCAATAGAAATATAGTGCATCCCACCAAGTACTGGCCAGACTGGCTGTTAAACAAAACTGGTGGTCTGGGATGGGAAGGAGAAAGTCGGCAATAAGTTGGAGCCACACTCTGCAGTTGTGATTACCTAAGATTGTGTTGTGAGTAAGTGTCTCCCTCCCTCTTTTCTTTCCCAGAAGACTCAGGTAAGACTTTAGAAGCATAATCTTTTTCCTAAAGCTTTGCAGGTCACCAAACAGTATTAATCAAACTAGTGCTATTCTTGAGATTTGGGAGAAGTATCTGCCCATGTGAAGAGTTGAAGCCAAACTGGAACTTCCCCTACCTTTCTGAAAAGATTTTAACTCCACCCTGCTGCTTGAGGGCTAGATGGCAGGAATGCCAGACACTCTGTAATTGGTCTGCTCATTTTGCCTATCCTTGATCTTCTCATGGGGTCAAGGAACGCCCCCTCAGTCTTCTCCCCACAAGCTGCCTCCCTCCTTTTCCAAGGCAGGTGGATTCTCATGCTCTGGTTAAGAAGCTTCACTAGGTAACCTTGAAACTTCCAAGTCACCTATGAAACTCTGCCCCTCTGCCTCCGTCTGAGCAGCCTGTAGCAAGTGAGAGCTGGGCCCCCTCTGCAGATAAAGCCTGGAAAAAGGCTTGCCTACTTGAGACTGAGACTTAAGTCTACCCAGCAGTGCTCCTAACTAAGTGGGAATAGGATTTCAACCTTAACATAATTTGCCTTTTCGGGATGTGAACATGGCAAAGGGGCTCAAGTCAATTAGAGTAATAAACTTATTTATTCATTCATTCATTCATTCATTCATTCATTCATTCATTCGAATTATAAAACTGCAGCCAAACATCCCAAAAGAGAAAATCCAGCAACATCAAAAAAATTATGGCAGATCCATTAGTTACCTAGATCAATCCTTAGTTTTAAGCCAAAGGCATGGGTTACTTTTAAAACAGATAACATAAAGAAAAATTAGGTAGCAATCTCACAGCTGGAAGTTAATTTTAGGGAGCACACGAGGTACAGAATCAAGAAAAGCTGAACTGGTTAGGCACTACCGAAGGACTGGATGGTAGGTGATAGGCTAAAAGTAAAGCGCCATCTCAAAAGTAGTAGCATATGATCCTACCAATTTAAGGACTTATCTCTGTTCCTTGCCCTTTCTTGCCACTGTTACCACGCATCTGTGTTTTGCAGATTATCGGGCATCTTTCCTTCTATCATCAGTTCATTGACAGAATTGGATTTAAGAGGCTGTATATACATTTTGTTCCACTTTTGCAAATGTGCCTCAGCACGAATGTGTATCCACTCAAGTGCAAATCTGCCCAAATTGTTCCCCAAAGTTAACTGGGGATGGTCCACAAGCCTGCAGAGTCTACACAGTTCAGTAAAAGCTAGTCCCACTGCAAAATTCATAGGTGAGAGATTTAGAAAATGGAACCCCCCCCTCCATTGTGGGTTTCTCTGAGGCTCCTTGGTATGGTCCAGACATCTGCTATCAGAGCCAGGAGTAATTGCAATAGAATGGCCATTGCCTCACCAGAATCAGGCAGCAAAGGACACATTCCACCTCTCCCTGGCAGGCTACTGCTTCCCCAAACAGTGACTGAGACTACATTCCACAAAAGTCACCTGAATTAGAGCCAGATTGTCTATTTCCAGTCATATCCAAAATGAACAAATGCCATATTGGCATGCAGCTAAGCTGCAGCTCTGACATTCTCTGTAATTATTCTAATGTATTTGGCATATACAGCATCCATTACGTTGTAGGCTACATGATGCATTTCGAACAGTCATACTTGGCACTATAACACATTTTAGGGGATGATCCTATGGCCCTAGACATTGCCTGAGGACCCATAAGAGAGTTCAGATACTGAGCTTGGAGATCACAGAGGATGTTCAAACCTCAAAGTTGGGAATCATGTTCCACTCCTCCTACCTTACTACCTGCAATTTTGGGGCAGTGATGCTGGGGAGAATATGAAGCATCTTGAAGCTACCTTAGCATCCTTTCTCCCCCTCCAAAGTGCCCTGGCTAGGCAGGTAAAAACGCCTGTCTGTGCAGAGTGGGAGGACAAGGAAGGCAATGTCACTTCTTCCACTCTTCCTGCTTTGCAATGAGTGCCTGTGGGTCCCTAAAGTCAGGATTCCTGATAGGATCACACTTTGAAGATCTTGGTTTGAGAATTCAAAGCTCTAAAACTCCGAGAATTATCTGCATTACTCTTACCACAGTCCTATACAATAAGCCAGAATTATTGTTGATTATTAACATCTAAGTTAGATGGTATGAGTTCTCTGCACGTATTCACATGTCTTGTTTTCATTGCTGTTGCTAATTCAATTTGGGTTGCTTCCTGCCGCAGAAAGCAGTCTCAGAGCAACTTGCACACACACAAATACAGAAATCTACACTTAAAATAACAAACAAACAACACCATGTATCAGTATAAACTAGCACGGCACAGGGACAGATAAGAATGGGAATAATAGAAGCATCATCATTGGATGCCAGGAAGTACTTCCTGATGGCTAGGACTGCGATGGTGTGGAATGAGCTTCCCTGTGAGGTGGTTGAGGCCCCATCGGTGAGGGTGTTCAAGAATAGGCTGGATTGCACATGGCAGGCATGTCATGAGTGGAGCCAACTGGAGCCAGGGGTCAGACTAGATGGCCTGGGAAGCCCCTTCTGACTTGGTCTGTTTCTATGTTCCATCTAAAAACAATACAATATTAAACATGTTCACCCACAATACAGAAATCTCCCCTCATCCTCCAGCTTTGAAGGACTACCACTAAAAGCAGCCCAAATGCCCAGGAGATCCGTACTTGTCTGGCAACAAATAGGTAATCCTGCGAGCTCTCAGCAGGCTTCCTTGGGAAAAACCATTCATAAATGCAGGCTGCCACAGAAAAGGCCCAACCCGGAACTGCTTCTCTCAGAGGTGGCACACTGAGAAGCTGACTCAAGGGACCTCTGAAGAGAGCTGCGTCCTGGAGCAAAGCCACCCTCTCAGGGGCATTTCATGAGGGCTTCCATTCACCCAGAGCTCCAGATGGCTGCCCTCTGTGCTGTGGGTTGCCTGACCCACAGGAATCCTCCCGGTCAGGATTAGGGTGTGTGAAGCTGATGTGTGCTGAAGCACAGAAACTGGTCCTAGGCACAGAATCCAAACAAAAAATCTCAACAGAAAGTTTCTTGCCTCTAAAGGTAAGATGACAGGCTGGAATACAGGCTGCATGAGTGGCTGGGGAGAGCAGTGCAGGGTTCCTAGTGGTTGATAAAATGTGGAACCACGTGGAGCATCACTTATTCCTTTTCCCTATTGCTAGCAGAAGGGAGTAAATTATAGATAGAAGCAAATCTAGGCAATAAGCGAGCCTGTCTAATTTCCATAATATATGTCAGTCATAAAATTCAGTTTTGTCTTGCTTAAGAACTGAGATCCTTTTGGAACATATTTTAAATGCAGAAACACAGATAATGAGAAAGCTATATGACAACAGCTCCATGGTGCTCACAGTTTGTTTTTCCAACTACATGAAACTATCTAATCTATCAAGAATCCAGGCACATATGAGAATATCTGTGTATGGAAGCCCAGTCCCAGCAGTCTCCCCCGCTGCTGTCACACGTCAACGTGGCCAAGAGCCAGGAACCAGGAGAGGGTTAAGCAGTCTGGGTGGACTTGATTCTCAGTGGCTGAGCTCATCTGAGGCAACCAGGTGGTTTAGCCCTCGTGCAAGTATTGTCCCCAAGTTACATTTCTCCC